CACACACACACACACACACACACACACACACACACACACACACACACACACACACACACACACACACTGTACACCATCGTCAACAGCAGGGAAACAAAAAAGAAAAGGTGAGGTCAGTCAGCTGCTGGGAGGCCTGAACACCCGTCTGTCAGAGGAATAAATCTTTAAAGGACCAAACAAACATTAAAACATTAAATAATCTGACTGAACAATGTGACACCAGCGTCTGAGCAGGTGAAGCTCCATGTTTTTAAAAACACCAGAACAAACCTGCAGGTAAAACCAGGTAATAATGGGAGGGCAGTTAAAAGTGCAGGGGGGGTCAGGTTCAGGTCTACCAGGTAACAGACTGTCCCTCACTCATCGTGTTCCCTTCCTCTAGACCAGTCCAGTCCAGTCCTGGTCCTGCAGGTCCTGTCTCTGGTCCAATACCTGCTTAGACACTCGTTAACATTTAAAGCAGCCGCTGGACCAGAACCAGAGCAGAACCAGAGCAGGTATCTGCTCACCTGTGGATGTGCTGCGTTCAGGGCTGCTGAAAACCTGGGAAATATGAGTTTTATCATATTTACTGGGTTAGTGGGAGAAATATCTTTCTGATTCATAAACTCTACAGTATATGTCAAACTGAAGGCCTGTGGGCCAAATGTGGCCCACCAAAGCACTTTATGTGGCCCGCCAAAGTTTCCCAAGGATTTCCTTCAATTTACCAATAAATACATATTTCAGCTAACTGCTTAAGCTAACTGTTTTGAGCACCACAGTTTACGTCAAATGTAGCCCAATAAAAAGAGGAAATGATGTTTTGCTGTATTTGTTGGTAGTTTTAGCAGAGGAACAGAGCTTTTGTAGAAGAACGACAGAATTTAACCTTAAAGTCACCCGATCACTTCCTGTTCTTCTTGTGTGGACTGTACATTTGAAGTGGAAACTCTAAGTGATATTTTTCAAAGTCTACATGTGTCGAAGCTCAGATTTCCCAGCTTTTCAACAACCGTGAAGGCAGCAGGATCAGGACTGGACCGTCCCGGCTCTACAGGCCCAGATAAAACAAAGGAAACAAGCGTAGAGCAGATGGTGGTGTGGAAGATCTGCGATACCAAACCAGAGGATCCTGTTCACACAGGTGCTACTATCAGACTACAAACAGCTGCAGAACAGCTGTTGGATGAAGATGTAACACGTTCTTGCATAGCGCCGTCTTGCCTAATTGGAAAACAGCTGTTTTTTTTGTTTCTTTATACATTAACTCCTCCTGCACCGTCACTTTGGATGTGTTCACAGTAGAGAAACGACAGGAAAGCTTCCCTCTGATCAGAACACGATTCTTCATCAGGGCCTCTGCCTCCTGCAGCTTTAAAGCTAAACACATTCATCCAAACAGGTTAAAGCTAATCACTGCAAACTATGAAAAACATTTAAAAAACAGCATCCTAAACTACGTCAGATGGTGTTTGAAAAGACTTCAGTAGTTTTTAAAATATGAAATCCTGGAACGCGGGTCCACACTCAACGTAAACAAAGCGCTTTAGTCCAGATATTTTACGCAGCGAATCAGAGCGTAATGAAGTACCGCCTGGTTTTCCAGCTCCCACAGACGTCACTTTTCTGCAGTTTCTAGATAAACGTCTATTATTATTTTAACCTGGTTTCATGAGGTTAAATGAGGATGTTTCCCTCTCACACCCAGCAGAGCAGGAGAGGAGAAATAAAAAGTTTAATGTTTGAGCTGCACAAACAGAGGAAACACAAAGAAGCTGTTTTCTTTTTGTCTTCAAACGCAGCTCAAATCATTACAGTTCAGTCGTTGTGGCTTAAAGTTAAACCGTTCAGTCGCATCAATCCTGGAGCGCTGTAACACCGAGAGCAACGACACACAACAAACACACAACAAACACACAACAAACACACACACACACAGTATATATGTAGACTTGAAGGACAGTCAGAGGACAAAGAGCTGAATTTAAGTCACAGGATGAGTTGTTTCTATAAAAACAGCTGAATAAAGGCGTCACACAGTCATCCTGTCTGGATCTGACCCAGTCTGTTTGACTTCCTGCTGCACACCTGCTTTTATACGATTCTTTAGTAGCAATAAAACAGATGTGGTGTCCAGCTGTTTTCACATCCTGGAATAACTGAATTATCGACCCAAAAACTGGAAGATTTTAAATTAACAGTTCTCACCAAACTGGGAACAAATTCATTCTTTTTACAAGGTTTGTCATTTATTTCATCTAAAAGTACATTTTCAACAGAATTTATTTCTTTTTAGTTCAGACAAACCTGTTCAGATAGCAGACGTAACGCTAAGCTAAGCTAAGCTAAGCTAAGCATTTCTTGTTGCAATCAAGGCATTTGAAACCAATTCTTACTCAACATGGACACAATTATAGAAAAATAGAGACAGTTTGGATTAAATGAAGCGGTGTTCTGCGAAGTCGTTATGAGTAGTCAGTATCTCACCTGCTGCAGAATCAGTTTGAAATACCAGGAGACGAGCTAACTGCTGGTCAGAGCTGATTCTACGGTCTTACAGCAGCTAAAGTTCGAGCTAACTTTTACAGGAATCTGTTTACACCAGCATCATATTGTTTTAGTTAGACAATATTTTATGTAAATGTTTTTGGTTTCTTTCAGTGAAGACCAGCTCAGCTGTTTTAACAGCTAAAATCAATTTAAACCTACAGAACAGAACATGTAGAAGAAAATAAGCATGCTAACATGCTAACGAGCAACAAATGAGCACGTGCCTGAAGTCATTAACATTTTATCTGTTTTGCAACACATGTTAAAGTCCCAGCAGCTCCATGTTCCTCTGACCAAAGCTTCGATTAAACATATGTTTTTACCTGTCAGGAAGTGGACGCAAGGAGAAATGCAACCCCGTGCTGATGGGATGAACAGGCTGGATGACAGAAGAGGTTCTGACTCCACCGTTCATCATATTTTCAACCCTAACTGGCTGGCAGAATAACAAACAACAAAATAAAAAGTCAGACAAGAGTTTGTCAAAATGTTTGACAATCCCTCAAAGTTTCTGAGAACGTTTAGCTCACTCCTGTTTTTTTAATAATTACCAACAAAATCATGTTTCAGCAGATCATCAGCATTAAATCACAGCTGATTTCATCTTCACGGTGAAAAACCAAAGACTTTTATATAAGAGGGTCTAACAGAAAACTGTCAGCGATGTAAAGGTTTTAAAAGTTGTGTTTCTGACATTAACTGATCATAAGACGACACTAACAGGTTCATTTCTGCTGCAGGGTGAAGATTTACAGAAAACTCCACAAAACACCAGCTAAAGAAAAACAGAAAATCCAAACTGTCCTTTTAATTTGATCCTTTTATTTAGAATAAACTAAGGTTTGGTGTGGCGGAGCTGAACATACTGGTGCTAGGCTAACCAGGAACACGAGGACACACACAGACACACAAACACAGTTACACTCAGCTGCGTCGTCTGAACAGTGGACCCAAAGCTCTGCTGATGAACTGTCGTCCTTCAACACAAACTGACCAGTTGTGGTGGATAAAGTCTCCTCCAGTCACTGGTCAGACTGGGACATCAGCTCTGTCTGAAATCATGATGAAGGAGGGAGGAGAGGAGGAGGAGCAGAGGAAAGGAGGGATGGAGGCCTCCCCTCACCTCGCCGGGCGCCACACGTTAAAGATGGGAGAAAGGTCTGAGCTGCTCCAGCTGGACTTCCAGAGATATTCTCTCTTCAAGCATGTCCTGAAAGAAAAACTAAAGTGAGCAGAGCCACACGAGGCCGAACATCCTGCTGTAAAAACAGCTGAAGTTTCTCCAACCTTCAGCTGTTGTTGTAGTTCACTGTTGAGGCGTGCCAACACCGTGTTGGTCTCCTTGTTCCTTCTGATTGAAGCTTGAATCGCCTTTTTGTCTTTTCCAACAGATCTGAAAACACCAACATGCCTCATTAACTCATGTTTCTGCTCTAAACACCAAGTGAACCATAACTGAGTGTATCTCAGTTTTTATAAACTCTACTGAAATCATCCTGGTATCAAAATAAAGCAACACCTGGGAGATGTCATCACAAGTGTAAAGATCAGAACAGTTGCTGTGGTTTTAAACAGACTGAGGATGGAACCTAAGTAGGGATGTCCCAATAAAACTTTTCACTTCCGATACGATACCGATACTGACCCGTTACCAAAACAGTARAAGTCACAAACTTTTACCTATTTTGTAATGTAAAACCTTAGAAAAGTCTTGATCAGGTCAAACAGTAAAAAAGAGTAGGTATGAGAAAAACTGACCCGTTTATTTTTAACCAATGGATCACATACATTTTAAACTAAAGAACATTATACAGTTTAATAAATAAAATAAATTACAATACCCTGAAAAAATAACAATAAAAACAAAATGTACTTTTAAAGTGTAAAATAATTCAAAATCACTCCAGTTATTTATTTATTTTTTACTACCTGTCAGCCTGGTGCTGCTTTATGGTGGGAATAACTGAAGGTGGGAACAAAACAAAACCACATTATTGTCTGTTCAAAGTTAAGAGTCCACAGCTAATTTTACTGACTGTAACCAAAACAACGTGATCATTGAAAGATAGATCTTTATTTACCATTTGTGCATATACAGCAGTTTATACACACTGGAATTCATGTGTGGGCATCTGTCCTAGTCACAGTATAGATGACAGAACAGTGATGATAGAAAAAACATTATAAGGGCTAAGAAAACAGTGTAAGAACAATAAAGTAAAAAAGGAAATATATATATATATATTATATATCACACACACACACACACTAAAAAAAGATTTAAAAAATTTAAGATAAATTTCAGCACAGTAGATGGTGTGGCACAATAGCAGCACAACAGTACAATCAGTGTGTCAAATGTAGGACCTGTATGCAACTTAGCAACATTTCACATTTCTTAGGGATGAATGAATAAATTCATTGTACTTAATCTTCACTAAAACAAGTGTGTAAACAGATTAAACATCACTCTACAAACAAGAGCAAAAATACATATTAAGAATCAGTCAGTTAATTATTAATACCTTCTACAGTCTGAGCATCATGTGGAGATCAGCCTCTCTCTCCTGCAGGGAGCAGTTTTTATCACTYCTCTCATCATGTCGCTTGTTTTCCAAAACAAAATCTGCGCTCTTCTTTATTCTGTCCATCAATCCCAGAGATAATCCACGGGCAACATTCTGCTGATGTCAAAACCGTAAAAAGCGTGCTGTCCTCGCTTCTGCCCGCTAGAACCACCGGAGTGAGAGGAGGTTCTGCTCGGTTGGAATGGAGACACTTTTGGACCGAGGCTGAACTGAGCCGAACCTCAAAGCTGCTTCCAGGGTGGAGAGTAGTTGTAGCTCCGGTTTAAAACGTTCACGGTTCTGTTCCCCCTCGGAAAACTTGTGCGCGACAACTTTGCACTTAGCTTCAACTCTGTTTCTGATGAAAATAGAAAGTTCTGCCGACATTCTTGCTAACTTGTTAGCGCAGCATGTTGTTGTGATCATGTGAGCTCTACATGCTGGATCCAAGCTCTGCTGGATAGAAACACTGGAGCGGAGTCAGTGAACTGCTGGAACAGACTGCTAATATCGGAGTGCTTATATCGGACATTTTTTATGCAGGCCAATAAAATCCGATACTCATTTTTTGGCCGATATCGGACCGATATCAGATATCAATATCGGATCGGGACACCCCTTAACCTAACATTATTTTTTTCACTCTCACCTGAATAATGTTTTCATTAAAGAGTATATAACCCATTTAAAACCATAATGAATCAGACAAAAAACTCTTAAACTATAAATCCACCTGTGAACATCACCTGTACAAAGATTCATGCTGCTACAATGAACTGGAGCAAAGTTACAGAGGTTTTAATTAGGGATGTCCCGATACCACTTTTTCACTTCCGATACGATACCGATATTACAACTTTGAGAAATGTCCGATACCGATATTGACCGATACCGATATTGACCCYTTACTGTAACAGTACAAGTCACACACTTTTACCTATTTTGTAATGTAAAATCTTAAAAAAATCTTGATCAAGTCAAACAGTGAAAAAGAGTAGGTATGAGAAAAACTGACCCATTTATTTTAAACCAATGGATCACATACATTTTACACTGAAGAACATTATACAATTTAATAAATAAAATAAATT